TTCTTTCCTTTGCAGCAACCTGCGTACGTTCCCATCGTCTGCGCGGCTGTCGACGCACGCGCAGACGAGGATCTCGTCGGGATAGGGGGTTTTTATCGAGTGGCCTTCTCGCCAGATTTCGTGGGTCAGCCAGTCATGGCATGTGCCGGACCTCTCGTCACTAGGTGTGCCTTTGCAGGTGCCAGCCAGGACATCACGTGTTGCGAGACATTGGCACAGCTTGGCTTCATTCTTTGTCTCCGTTCCGTGGTGCCGTTGGCACGCTGGACCGCTCTTTTTCGCACGTTGTCCGACAACACAGGTGCAGAGGCAGGCATCGATAAGCTCTACAGCTCGGCCTTCCCTTTATCAGTGTTTCCGAAACGCCTGTCCGTGTTGGCGTGCATGACTGGCATTGAGCTTGCGTTTTTCCACATACCCGGCAAAAAGAACGACGGTGCAGACCTTCTCTCCCGCTAGAGTGATGAATCCCGGCCCATGCCAGCCAAGTTCCTTCCGGACTTTCGCGTGGACGGCAGCCTAACACGCATCTGGCACTTTCGGTCCGATGTGCGCCTTCGGCTTCCCGATGCAAAGCTCAAGTGGCTGCTGCCATAATCACTCTCCAGAGTGCTGATGTGAAAGCCTGGCATAGTCTGCGCTCACTTAGAAATGGGATTGGTAGGCCCGGCGAGCTTTGACTTTGCCAGTTCAAAAGTTGGTCATTCGCGCTTCGGCATTAGTAGCAACATCTGCTTTGCTTTGTACTTCGAACTCAGAGCGGCTTTCCCGGCAAAGTCAAAAAGAGAGAGGGCTCGTGGTACAGTGCTCGCTTTGGCTTAGGATTTCTAGTAGGCTTTACTCAGCTTTGGTAGTGTGGCTTGAACTTGCAGCGAACGGGTCATGTGTTTACTCATAGCTGTTTGCTGTTTGTGAAAGATCACCGTCCTTTGTTGCTTTTGGTTCAAGCCACACACCAAAACGTGCAGCTTTCAGTGCATCGCTAGCTAGCTTTACTTTTCACCCACCCACCACTCCCTCTTGGAAGACACGTTCTTTCCGAGTCGGGGCAGGTCGGACTCTCACACAGCTACGCCGTTTCACGCAGTTTCACAAGATGCGCGGTGATTTTCTTTTCCTCGTTTGGTATGCCTGTTGTACTTGGTAGCATCATCCGCTTTGCAAGTGGTCATTCGCGCTTCGGCATTAGTAGCAACATCTGCTTTGCTTTGTACTTCGAACTCAGAGCGGCTTTCCCGGCAAAGTCAAAAAGAGAGAGGGCTCGTGGTACAGTGCTCGCTTTGGCTTAGGATTTCTAGTAGGCTTTACTCAGCTTTGGTAGTGTGGCTTGAACTTGCAGCGAACGTCTGTGTGCCACATCAATATCCAAGAAATGAAAGTCGCAGTGAAGCAGCTTAAGAATGCCATTTCGCAGTCATCTGAAGGGCTCCGTCTGGTGAACCTCTGTGACTCGCGCGTCGTCTGCGCAGCGTGGGCCAAAGCTAAACTCCTGGCTTCGCAGGGTTCTTGCGCATAGCGTGGCTATCCCGCTGATTATCCCTCTCGTAATGCGCCTGTCCCTAAACCCCTCAGCCCCACGGCTGGCCTACGTGCCCTCCTGTCTGACGCAGAAATCCAGGCTATGCAGGCGTCGCCTTGCAAGCAGCGAGCTGACTCGCGTGGACATGATGAGGGCTTGTGTGAGTAAAGAGTGCTTGCTGCTGTAGTGTTAGCGTGCTGAGACATCGCGCTTCCTCACCTCATTTTTGAGTTCGGGTCGTGCAGCACTCATGCTCTACCGTAGCCAATTTCGGTCGTGAATTCGTAGTTGTTTTAATTCCGTTGCATTGAAACCATGACGTTGCGGGGCAGCCACTTGTCGACCGCCTACAGACGCCGCCTCTTCAAGGGTTATCGGCTCTTGCAAGAGTACCTGTCTCGTGCAAACAGCAACTTGCATCATCTTGCCAGGCGTCGAAAACTGCTTGATGCTTGTTTGGAAGGGTTCGTCAATTGGGCTTACAGCAAAAAAGGGCCTGCGTTCCTCAGTGTCGCAAAACATGGCCTTTTAGTGGTGCAGTTGCTTTATCCGCGCTGCCGCTAGCTTGGCAAACGTTGCTTGCGTGGGAAGAAGCCACTGAGGTCCGTGTCCGGCCGCCTCTCCCACTTTCGGTCCTAGCGGCTTTTGTGGTATTTGCCCGTGCGCAAGCTTGTGTCGCTGAAGCTGGGCATCACGAGTGGCTTCGTTTTGCAGTTGCACTGGAACTAGGGTTTTTTGGTTTGCTGCGACCGGGAGAGATCCTGCAGCTGCGTGCGTGCAGCATCTCTCTGCCAGATTCTTGGATTTTTGCACCTGTAGGCGTTGTGGTCCGCATAGAAGCGCCAAAGAATCGGCGACACATGAGCCGACATCAGTTTGTTCTCGTTGAGCATGCTCCCTGCTGCCATGCCTTGCAGAGCATCTTGCCGCATTTGCGCCCACAAGACCAGTTGTGGCCGTGGGGCCCGCGCCGCTTCCGGGCCATGTTCCGTCAGGTCTCGCAAACTTTAGGCGTCGAGGCTCAGGGCTTTTCACCAGCTTCTTTACGTGCTGGGGGTGCTTCCCACCTGCACGTTATGGGGATGGAAATTTCTAGGCTTAAGTTCCGGGGTCGCTGGGCCAGCGAGCGTACGTTAGGCCATTATGTGCAGCTTGCTCTCAGCCGACAGGTTCAGCTGACACTCTCGCCAGCGGCAAAGCGCAGAATCACCACACTCCTTCGTCACGGCAGCGACTTTTTGTTTTCCAGTTTTGGCTCAAGCGCCAGCAGGGCTTCCCCGCGCATTTGCTTACCGGCTTTGCTTTCTGCGTATGGATCGCTTGCTAGCGCTTCACATGGTTCGAAGAAAGTTCAACAGGGGCCGCACAGAGGAACCTTCTTCAGAGACCTGTCTTTTTTGCAACTTGAACGGTTTGCAAAGCGCTGCGCAGAACCAGAACTTCGGCTCTTCGCCCGTGCGGCAGTTGCTACTCGTGCGTTGGAGCCCGCCGATTTGCAGCCCTGTCGGCCCGTCCAGCCTTCGTTGTCTCCAGCGGCCGCTGCGCCTCATCCGGTGCTTAGCCGGCTTGAAGCCGTGTCTGCAGGCTTTCGCCACCTGAGGTCGCTTTTCGCAGAGGTTTCCAGTCTCAAGCTTTTCTTGTTGACAGTGTTGGTCGCTGTGCTGTCACGCCCGTCAGCGCATTTCCTTGTGGGCCGGTTCCTTGTACTCAGTTTTCGCTGGGCACTGCAACAAACTTTTGGTCTGCTTTTTCAGTGCTTGGATGCGCTTTTGCTCGAGTTTGTTCTCTGGTCGAGGGGTGTGCACGAGCCGCCCTCCGTGGGCTCTTTCATGGAAGCTTCTTGTCCTGCGTGCCTGGGTTTGGGCCCATTCGGCCAGGTTCTTCTAAGCACATTCTCGGTGTTCCTCGGCGCGCTGCTCGCTCACTTGAATCAGCGCTTTCAACTGCCAAACCGTGCCGGAAGGCCGGTTTTGCGTTTGTGACTGGCCCGCCGCCGGCCCCTTCGCCTCCGCTGCTTGTGAGGGGTGGGTGGCATTCGTGTGTGCATCTGCCATGCATTCGTGGCACTGCACTTGCTGTGCAGCCGAGTATGTGCAAGTATGAGCATCTGCCATGCATCTGCGTGACCGGGCTTCTTGCCAATCTGTGTCAATCGCCTGTCAAGCACAGACCGACGGTCGTCATGACTTTCAGTTGCATCTTTTTAGGTTTCACTGTCGTAAGCAGCAATCGGCTTCAGCCTTGCTTGCTCAGAGAACACTCCATGGCCCGAGTTGCATGTCGCAAAAAGCGAGGGCGGCTGTTTGCTCTCATTGCTTAGTCTGTTCAGCGATGACAGCAGTTGAGAAGTAGGACATAGCATCCAAATGTCCGGACGCCGAAACTCAGGCTCTGTTCCAAGCTGAGCCGCCACCTCCCCTCCGCTCTGCCTCTGCTTGCATTCCTGTGCCTGCACTTCCTGTGCATTCGTGTGTGCATCTGCCATGCATTCGTGTGTGCATCTGCCATGCATTCGTGGCACTGCACTTACTGTGCAGCCGAGTATGTGCAAGTATGAGCATCTGCCATGCATCTGCGTGACCGGGCTTCTTGCCAATCTGTGTCAATCGCCTGTCAAGCACAGACCGACGGTCGTCATGACTTTCAGTTGCATCTTTTTAGGTTTCACTGTCGTAAGCAGCAATCGGCTTCAGCCTTGCTTGCTCAGAGAACACTCCATGGCCCGAGTTGCATGTCGCAAAAAGCGAGGGCGGCTGTTTGCTCTCATTGCTTAGTCTGTTCAGCGATGACAGCAGTTGAGAAGTAGGACATGGTGTTGTTCGTCTTTCTTGTTCTAATTGCTTCTCACGGCGATCTGTTTCACACCTAGTTGCGAGACCCACAAGAACGGCCTACTGTGCTACTGATGTAGTAAAGAGGCGCCCGCTTAAAAAAAAAACACAAACAACCAATCTTCGATTTCAGCACGGAGGAGGCGTCCCGGATGTTCAAGGCTGTGTGCCAGGCGCTGGGATACGTGGAGCTGGGCGTGGAGAAATCAGATGAGGCACGGCTCTGCTTCAACGGGGACGCTCGATGAGATCATGAAGCGGGGAAGGTGGCAGACCAATGGATCCGTCCGTCGGTACATCAACGGCGGGAGGCTTCCAGAGGTCTTCGCGCGGCTGAGCGGCGGTCAGCGCGAGCATTGCCTGCAGGTCGAAAGCGAGATTGGAGGGATCCTGCAGGGCTCAAAGCCTCCCGTCAAGCCAAGCCTGTCGTCCTAGACTTGTTCTCTGGCTCGGGGAGAATGGCCCGCGCGCTCCGATTGGAGTTCAAGGTTGGGCGTATGTGTATGAAGTTGACATCCGCCATGGTGTGCAATATGATCTTGCTTCTCGAGGCTTTCAGTGTTTCATTCGACGCCTGCTCCTGAGCGGTAGGGTGGTTGCTGTTTGGTTAGGAACCCCTTGCAAAACTTGGAGTCGCGCAAGATGCATTGATGGCTGCAGCTCCGGCCCTCTTCGCAGATGAATGTGTCATGGGTCTGCCGAACTTGAGTGAGAGCGATGCAGCAAAAGTCGACTTGGAGAATGTTCTGATGAGATTTTCTGCAGGGATTGCTGAGATCTGCCTTCGTAGGCGCATCCCCTTTTGCATCAAGAGCCCTTGGTCTTCGCGCATCTGGATGACAAAGCAATTTCAATCCTTGCAGAAGTCCTCACATGTGCATTTTGGATACACCGATTTTTGTGGGGATGGGACTCTGTGGCGTAAGCGAACGGGTCTTCTTCACGGATTTGTTGACCTCGGAAGTTGTTGTAAGCGCTGCAACACTCGTGGTGGTATCTGTTCCTTTTCTGGAAAGCGACATGCTCAACAAATGGGGCAATGTCAGGGCGTCTTCCTCACACGTGCCGCCGAGCCCTACCCGCAGAAGCTGTGCAGGCGCGTCGCCAAGGCCTTTGTTGCTTCAGTGCTCTCACGTTGGTGCTCCAACTTGTGGGAACGCTTGTCCTGACCTTACCAGATAAGTATGCGGTGTCTCCGTGGCCAGCATAACATTTTGGGGTGTCTCCGTGGTCCAAGACTGTCTGGGGCACTCCGTGGATGCTTGAAGCTATTCGTGATATAGATGTAATGCCTGGCCTCGGAAGAAGAAATGAGCGGATCATAACATCTGATCTCAGTCCTTTGAGTAGCTTTTGACTGAAGTGGGCCGCGCTCTGTGCTCAAGTCTCCCACCCTGTCCCAGCCCTTCATACTCGGGGTGTCTCCGTGGTCCAAGACTGCCTGGGGCACTCCGTGGATGCTTGAAGCTATCCGTGATATAGATGTAATACCTGGCCTCGGAAGAAGAAATGAGCGGATCAGTTCCGTGGTTACAGTGCAGGTCCGCGTCTCATTATCACGAATCAGCGAAGGGGGGGGTAGTGATAGCCGTTGAGTGTTAAAACTATGTACATATCGTCCCCTGACACTACCTCTGCTCTTGCGTGGCTTCATGGTTTATTCTCCTTGAGTGCAGTTCTCGAAAAAATTATGTGACCGCTGCGTTTCTTGTTGGAGTTCTGTTTCTTGCCTGGAGCTTGTTCTTGCCCTTTTGCACGTCGCACACAGTCATCTGACAGTTAGGACAGGAGCGGCAGTACGCGGACAAGCAAAACAAAATTGACGCTTCTGTCATCCCGCGTGTCCTTCGCTTTTTCCTGCTTTCCGGACCCTGAAAAATGGGACTGTTTTCGAGGCCGTGTGAAAGGTGGAGTGCGTTGCCTGAGGCCCAGGAACCTGAAGCTTGTGGCCGGAAGGCGTGAGTGAAGTTCCTGGCCCGAAGCCTGAAGCTTTTCAGCTTTTCTAGCCTGTAGCCTGAAGCCATGGGAGCTTGAAGTTTTTAGCAGGGCTAGCTATCATCTAGATTGAGAAAAGCACATGTCCTTACACACCACTCCAAATTGTAAAAAATCAAAGTATGAAAGTTCGTTTTTTGAAAGTACCGTAGCGAAGGAATTCCGTTTTTCCTGCTTTCCTGGCTTGAGCCCAGGACGTTCTGCTTATGGCCGAGGCCGAAGCGAATCTTCATATGTTGGCGCTTGCCTCTGCCCCCATTTTTGCTGAATTCCGGGCCATTGTTGTTTTTTGAACATGTTTTCCATTTTGCCGTTTAAGTTCTCTCCATTCTGTTGTGCGACGTCTTGTGAACCGGCGCACGGTTGCAAATGAGCTGCGAATCCTGCAGCCAAAGATGGCAAAAGGACTGCTACTAACTCTGCATGCCCTGAGGGCAAGTTGCAAAGTTGAAGGCACGGCACCGTGAAACTGTGACATGCCCAGAGCTTTAGGTTCGAAGGACAGGGATTGGCAGCACTTCAGAAACTCTCAGGGCTGGAAGTCGCGTTCTTCGCGTTCTTCGCGTTCTTCGCTTCCGGCTCTTGAGATGGCATCTTGTCTTATCCTGTCTTGCTGGCCTCCGTGAGCAAAGCTGTTAAAAGCTTTGCGCACGTTCATGCGGAGCGTGCATGCAGTGAGCACATTGCGAAGACTGCGAAGACCAACACTGAGGCCAAAGCTGCCAAGACTGGGACCTGTCGAATTGGAGATGAGCTCTCAGCTTTCTGCGGTGTCCAGCTGTGTGAGCTTTCTGCACTTTCGTCCTCAGCTGGGCTGTCTAGGTTGCGATCCTGGTGGCGCTCTGCTTCCGTCAGGTAAGCCGCTGCCAGAAATCCTTGTGGCGGTTAATGGTATTGGAATCGCCAATGGGAGAAAGTGACAGAATGTGGGACAGTGGGACTGGGAGAGGTGCTGGCCTTTGTGGGCCCTCACCTTCCTCGGACTCCGCTTTCACAGCTGTCCCTTGTAGCACCCGCTGCAGCTGACTTAGAGCACAGCACCTGTCAGCTAGCTCTGAGCCTCTTTTGACATTCGCGAGGTGCTGAGCATTACGCTGCCAGCTGCCGCAGCGAGCGATGGAGGGCTAGGGTAAGCTGGAGATCATGCAACTGTTGTTGCGGTGCTTTTTTTATAAGCGCCAGCTTCGTGCAGGTTCCAGGCTATCATGTTCGCTCCTGTGATTAGTCTGTTTGCTATCGTGGGCGTTGCCATGGTCTGCTTCCCAAACGACTTCTTGCGGTGCGCTGGCAGCGTGTGCAATCGTGTGCATGTGCTCTTCTTCCATGTGCTGCCTAAGGTTGGAGGTTACGTGCTTGGCATCTTTGTGCCGCCAGGGGAAGGTGCAATGCCGAGATTGAAAGGGTGTATTTGGCTTAGATTTTATGTAGCAAGAGCTATAACATAGCAGCCGACGAGACCTCCGACATTGCCAATAGCTCCTGGGATCAACCTCGCACTTTTGCTGCTTCCGCGCCTGCGAGGAATCGAGAAGAGCGTTATAGTAGAGAACTACATGTGTGAGATATAATGTTGCCAGTGTGACCTGCAGCATTCGAGATCACAAGAAAGGAACAATCAGGTCATCAGGGATAATTATCCCAGATACCTCAATCTACCGGCTGGCTGGTCTGTATAGTTTGCAGGTCGGCGGAGCTCAGGGTTTTTTCCCAAACGAGGTTTTTCCCTGAGCTTGCTTGCTTGAGTCTTGCGGCACAAGTCCACGAAGGCAACTCCCTCAGTCCCACAGCATAAACAGGCCCCAAAGTGTAGGTGCATTGGTGCATAGGAAAGTTGTGGACTCTGAGGTTCGATGTGGTGCTGTGCTCGTGCAACCCTGGAAATCGCCTTTCATTCTCATCAATAGCACGAAATCTAAGCGGGCTGTCGCCCGCGTGAAGCAACCACAAGAGCTCTGCTCTGCGGGTTTTCAAGGCGTGTTTACTTCCTTGAAGCTTGCAAAAAAGTATCCTCCTCACCCCAAGCCGGTGCGGCTCATGCTGCTGATGCTCGCCACGGGAATCGTAACAGAGAAACAAAGCCTCGATGATGCACACCCTTGCGCCCCCCTCCCAAGCCGCACATCATGGCTCCGGCCCCGATGCTTCGGTGGCTTGTAGGCGCTCGGAGCAGCTTCAACACGGGAATGTCCAGAACCGCACGAAGACTCGCCAGACCTCGCCTATACCCCGGCCATCCTAACCCAAAGCAACCACCTAAACCCATCACCTTAGTCCATTCTATCACCCAAATCATAAACTGGGAAATCTCATCGAAAACCACCCATATGACCATAATTCTAGACTGCAAAATGATGGGTGAGTAGGAACTTACCCAAGCCTTGTGACCGTTACATCGAATTTTACCAAAGCTAATTTGTAAATGCTATTTCTGTACATCCGTTCATGATTGTAAAAAGTGTTGCCATTCCGTTGGTTCCTTTATCTATTGTCCTCGCACCCACAACTTCCACAAACATTTTCCCATGCCATACATAAACCATCTTCAATAAATGGCACACCAGTTATGGCGTGCATGACTTCGTTCTTTGTCAAGTCCATTCTGGAACGCTACATGCGTAGATTGTACAACACCTGTCGACGTATAGATGGCGCAGGGGTGTTCCTTCGTAGCCTTCCCTCTTGACCAACATGTTGCAGAATACGCAATTTTGATATACGCAACCTCATCACAGCTCAGAGTATTGTCAACAATTTGGCCTAAAGGCGTAGGTATAAACAACGCTAAGGGCAGACAAGCAGACAAGAGAGAGATAGCTCCTGTGGTGTGTAAGTACAAAGGGGTTGACCAAAATATACAAGCATGCTAACATATTCAAAGGTGATTACGGCGACTTCGAGACCACTTTAGCAGAACGAGAGGCAGTCTGTACAGTCTGGGTGCTTTATGCTGATGTGGGCGGCGGCGCATTCTGACCCGGTTTCGCAGGACAGTGCAATCGGCAGAAGACACGTGTTGCGAGGCCCGGGAACGCGGTTGGCGCCGTGATGTGTTGCGGGGCTATGACGAGGAGACTTACGCAGCCGGAATCGCAGATTGTCGGTGCAGTTGTTGTTTCATCTTGTTAGGGTCTCAATTGTTCTTTCTTCCTTGCGTTCGCAGTACAAATCTGTGTTTCGGACCCCACAGGCCATGAGGGGCATGGGCAAGGAGTGGGCGAAGGCAGGCTCTCTGGGTCAGCTGTTTTTTTTAACCAGCCGGCCGGCCCTTTCGTAAAGGTGGAATATCCCTTCCGCAAGCAGCCGCGTCCAGAGTCAGCGCCCTGGGAAAATTCAGGGAATGTGTCCGAGACCTGGAGGAAACTGTGCAACACGGCAAAGAATAGCGTTGTGAGACAGAGAGTCTCAGAGAGTAAGGGGGGAGAGCAGGGTGCACCTTAAGGGTACCTTGAGTTTGCGGACAGACACAACATGACGACTAATTACTAATTACTTTCGAACAATCGCCTCCACCCTTGACAATGTTGAGCTATGTTTGAACTTCTCGGCTCTGCGAAGTGCAACGGAGCAGTGCGTGGAAAATTTGTATGCGCACCAGTGTGCACCAAGCTTTTCGAGGTGAGGTGTCTGATGAAGTATGGCTGACACAGTTAAATGCTGAGAGATGTGAGAGATGTGAAAGATGTGAGAGATGAGACCGGCAGGGCTCCTCAGTTTGACTTTGGACTGAGGCCAGAGGAGCTGCCACGCCTTCCAGGCGTTGCCGGAGCAAAAGTGTTTTAACAAGCGGAGATGGGTTGTGCTTAGTCGGCTTGATCTTGAAATATCTTGAAAGAACCCCCCGTCGAGGTGTCGCAGCTTTGGCCTTAAGTCCGAGGGAGTGACGTTAGAGACCTGCTTGCGGTGCTTGCGGGGGGATGGATGTTCCGCGTGTTGGCCAATCCTCGCGGGCATGGCCCGATGCAGAGGCGACGGTCTAGTTCAAGGGTGGCCTTGTGGGAGCCACATCGAATTTACCCGAGGATGGCACGCTTGCCCTATGCCAGTTTACTTGGGCCATCTTGGGCCTAGTTGTTGCTGTGTGCGACGGCATTCGAGCCACAACTGGGCCCTGCCCTCGGAACCTTGATTCCGGGCCGTTCGCTGTTCGCTAGAGTGAACTCCAAGTGGACGGGGGCACGCTTGCGTTGCCTTAGGCAAGGCCGGACCGTGTGCAACTCCCCGCTCACTTACCCACTCACTCACTCATCTTGACAAAGAAATATGGAAGTGTTGTAGTTCCGCGCCCCCCCCCCGCGCTCGTGCGGGGGACTGCCCCGCACTGGCCCGGACTCCTTCTTCCGCAGTTCGCGGCGAGGCCTTCGCACAGGCGAGTTCCACATCTGCTGCTCCCTCGTTACCGTCAATACCGCGGTACTCGAGTTCCCCTCAGAGCGACAGTAGTGGAGGACTGTCCCCAAGTGTTGGGCATTGGCGTATGTGCCTTTGGTACTCGACTTCAGCGCGTGCCAATTCCGTTGTACGCGAGTTCCGCCCTTGCAAAACCTCGCAAATTCTGCGGTGCAGGGGGGGCCGTGTGTGGCCTCCCGAACCTTCTTGATTCTGGTGGTGACAAGCATTGATCAATGCTTCGACTTCAATCGCTGGCATGCATCGTGCCATCGTCCGTGCTTTGAGCGTTCAAGTTCAAACTGTTGATAGAGTGTCTTTCTGATCCCAAAGAAAGCTCCTTTGATGCTCTGATCGATGGTCCTCTTTAAGGTTAATTCCTGAAAAGCTGTGTCAATGAAATACATTTCAGACGGCGTTTGTCCTTCCTTGGACCGATCCCGCACAAACCTGCGTCTCGTGTCGCCGACCAGGATCACACTTCTTTCCGAACTGCTGGACTGCTGGTCACTACGAGTCACTACGGCTCCTTTCTCGGCACTATAATCATCCTTTAATGGTTTGATATGGTCCGCTCGACTGTGTGGTGCCAGTGTTGGCTTGCTCAAGAGCAATCATCTGAGCCCAATCCCTGTCACTTGTCCGAGGGTCCCTTTCCTCATGAGGTCGGCACATGTCGGCACTAACATGATCGTTCTGGCCTCCTTGGGTTTTCAAGGTGTGCTATTGTTGCAAATTGGCAGCGGCCAGCTCAGGACAAACCCTCACCCCCGTGTCGCTGGAAGAAGCACAAAGCTGGATGCAGGAAGAGCTTCCGTGTTGTTCCACGGCGGCAGGTTGCTCGATCCTGAGGACAGGCCCGGCGCAAGCTTTCGGGATCATAAGAACTGAACTGGGCCAGCAGAAGCGCGCCGACGATCAGGAGGAGATTTCCCGAGATAGAAAAACTTAGAACTTCCCACCGCAGAAGTGCGCAGAAGTGGAGAAGATCTGCAACCAGACCAATTGCCTGTACAGCGTCGACGTAAACTTTTGCACCAAGAGCCGTGAAGAAGTGGCGGAACTTAGGACCCGCAGCTTTCATCAAGAACAGCTTGAGATGATGTGCTGGACAGATGCAGGCTGGGCCCAACAGGCCCAACAGGCCCAACAGGCCCAACCATGCATCTTTGGATGTCTGGCGTGTCTCCAATTTGTTGGCGTTCAAAACAGACCGGGTGTGCAGGTCACCAGCACAGACATCATGACATTAGTAGATGGTGATGACTATTTGACATGTTTGAGAGTCCTTGTGGAGAGATGCCCGAGATGAGTGAAGATGCCTTTGGATGGTCGACATTCTCAAGAATGTGCCATTCAAACCACAGGTCGCCTCGCGACAAATGGCAAGTTTGTATGCCCCCTCACTGTCAAAGGTAACGAGAAGTGAGCAAACCTCGCTACGACAAGGCCATGCAAAGTGCCAAGATTCGGAAGAAATATGATTGGACGTCTGTGAGGAAAGCAGCACTGGCCCAGAGGGTTGGAACGCCGATTGGGTTGTACACGCTGAGTTTTTTGTAACGCAAAAGCAAGCATGAAAAAGAAACCATGAAGTTTCGTGATGTCAACTTGCACTAAGTTCGGCTTGTGACACCTGCAGGCTACATGCTGTGCATGTGCCACAACTTGGATTTAATTTACATTTTTCATGCGCCCGATAAACGAAGGGACTTTTTGTTTCTGTTGACCCGGCCCAAAACCTCGCCCTCACTGGTGCAGTGAGCCTAGAAAAAAGCAGGGGGGGGCAGCAGCCCAGCTCCTTCTATGCTGCCAGAGGAAGCTGCGAGAGATGAGGTGGAAGCCTTGGGAGACGTCCCAGGGTGTACCTACACGTGACGTGTGGAATGTGATGGGATTGACCGGCGTGTCTCTCTGTGTGTGTGTGTGTTAGTTAAGCTTAGACTTTAAACCCCATATTCAACCCCATATTCGTCGAGTGAGTTGTCCCGGGACCGTCGACCCGCTGCGCCCCGGGCCCTCGCACTGTCTTTCCATATGTGGGGCTCGTCGTTTTGCTGGACTTAGACGCGCGAGGGCGTTCCGCACACCGCCTTCAGTGTCATCAAAGGCTCAGTCTTAGGTTGTTGTTCCGCCCTCAGAGCGAAATGTTATCTGTCCTCCACCGACATAGAGGTTTTTTGAACAGTTCTGGTTTCTGGTCGTTGACTTGTACTTCCTTGAAGTGCGCAGGCCGGG